ACTCGCACACCCATCACTTGGCACGTCCGTCACCAATACCAATCGTATAGCACATAATTCGAGGTTTCGAACACTCGGAACTAAGTTTGAAAGTGTTACTTACCTCAAACCGAGCAAATCTTACTCCAAAATGCCTTTGCCCCTCGATTCAGTCTCCAAACGCCCCAAATCTAGCCGCAAGTAGTACGATATAATTAATATAGGCTAAAGGAATCAATTTGACAAGAAAAATATGAAATTATAAGACCATTCACTCACGAGTCTAACCATACCAAATTTACCAAACTCTAACACCATTTGGTCATCCAAATTCCCAAAATCCACTCTCCAATTCTCAAGCCTTAAACCCCCAAATTTCACTTCAAAATCTCACTAATTAGGTGGAGAAATTAGTGGGGAAATAAGTTTTATGATCCAAAACGAGTACAAGAAGCTTACCTCAATAATCACCTCGAAAATCTTCTCCAAAATCGCCTACGTCCGAGTCAAAAATGTTGAAATAAGACTAAAATCGCGAACCCTTGGTTTTAAACCTTCTGCCCAGACTTTTCGCATCTGCGGACCTATTGTCTCACCTGCGACGCCGCATCTGTAGTGATAATACCGCTTCTGCGGAAGTCACTTGCACCTCCATGGCTCGCACCTGCGCTCCAGGTTCTGCACCTGCGAACGCGCATCTGCGGCTCTGGCCTTGCTTCTGCGGAGTCACTATCTCCCAGCTGCCCCCGCACCTGCATCCACTTGTCCGTATTTGCGCTACCGTAGGTGCGGGAAATTCTTTGCACCTGTGACCCTTGTCCTTCATGTCCTTGCCAGCATCTACGATTCATGCCTCGCTTCTACGTGCTCGCACCTACGGTGCCCACTCCGCAGGTGCAGTCACACCAGTAGCAAAAACTCTTCAGTTGCTTCATCAACTCAAAAATCAAGTTTGTTAACCTACCGAAATCTACAAGAAGCCCTAGGGACCTCAACCAAACATGCCAACAAGTCATATAACCCAATACGAACTTAGTCGAACATTCAAATTACTCAAAACAACAACAAAACACTGATTACACCTGAATTCAAGCCTAAAAAACTTTTAAACTTCCGAATTCTACAAACGATGCCCGATTGACCTCAAATTGTGTACACACATCATATTCAACATTACAGACCTACTCCAACTTCAAGAATTAGAATCCGACCCCGATATCAAAAAGTCACCCCCCCCCCC